GGGGCTGACTCGACGGCACATAACAACAACAACTTTGTAAATAAGGACACCAAAGCTCAGAACCTTGATGTTACCTGTTCAAGTCACACAGCAAGTAAGTGACATAGCTAGGTTTTGAACCTGGATACATTTGACATTGAGGCTTAGAATCTTAACCATGGATGCTTCCTCTCAGAGATCTTTAGAACACTATGAATTCCCTGGCTGAGCAGCATATAGAAATAAGTGTCAGTGAATGGCCAAGGCGAAAGCAGTAGGCCTGGCAGAGCAGAGGAGATAGCCTGATAGAGGCCCAAATTCCCTTTCATAACATGTGGAGAAGAATAAGCCCGTGGTCCCTATACCAAGGCTTCCTGCCCTCATGTACTAAAGCCAGTAGTCAGATAATAAGTCCGAGATTAAAACGTAGTCTCTCCATTTTCACCCTAACACTCAGGTTAGTATTATCCTAGATAGGCATAGACAGAGTTTGGCAAATTATAGTCTGTGAGCCAAATCTGGCCCTCTGCCTGTTTCTGTAAATAAAGTTTTATTGGAACACAGCCTCATCCATTCATTTATGTATTGTTTTTAGCTGCTTTTGTGCTATAGTGGCAGAGTTGAGTATGCCAACTGCATATGATTATATGTAAAATTAAACTATTATCCAGCCCCTTACAGAAAAAGTTTATTGACCTTGATGTTGAGGATTCCCTAAAGAGCAGTACTTACTGTGAAGACCTTCTCAGGCTGACCCCGAGCTCTCATGTTTGTGTCATGAATTAACTTCAGAATCATCCAAGCTTCATCATGTTTTCCAACCTAAGAAATATGAGTAGATTGTGAAGTACTGAGAAGCAAGACACTTATGCTCCCTGATTTTCCAGTAACCATCCCACCTTGGATTGTCAGGTCAAATTGAATGTAATTTTGCAAATGTGTTCAGGTACATCCCATTGGAACTAGCTGTCCTCTTGGATATCATTGAGTAAATTATCAGGTCAATGGATGTGTCTAGAAAAAGAAATAACACCTTTGGATGGTAACAATTCATTTCTAAAACAATCAGCCATGTCCTCCTCATTGGGTGAAAAACTACTTGCTTAGGGAGGAACATTAGTGCTTTCTGGCATGAAGCAGCTTGTTCATGTGCTGATTGTGTAAAGCATGTCTCCATGAAACCCAACCTTCCATAGTTCCATAATAGGAAGGAAAAATGTACCTCCCAAATAGGGAAATATACTTTATTATATTAACAAAGAATTAACAAAGAACTATTTCCAATGTATGTGAGTTACTTGAGTGTTTGTAATAACGTGTGTTACCTCTAATAAGAACCGTGGACTTTCAGGCATGAATGTGAGGGCCACCACGGCAGAGACACAGGGGAGTGCACAGACGATCACGAACACACGCCAGCTGTGGAATTGGTAGGCTGATCCCATGCTGAAGCTCCATCCTGGAAAAGGAGGGTGGGAAGAGTGAAAGTGAGCTCCTTTCAGACTGCCTACTGGGAAACGAGCCTTTCTATTCTTCCATGATTGATCTCTCCAAGGAGTGGACCTAATGTAAATGTTCAGCTCATACGCTTGTCTTTTGTTTGGCTGGAAGCCACAGGAGTGGGTACAATTCCAGAACTGAAGGGCAGCTAGGGCCCATAGTCTCAAGGTTTCATCAGGCTCTATCAGACTAGCAAAACTTGTCTTTTTTTTTTTTTTTTTAATGATTTTGAGTTTTGTTCCACATTGCTCTCCCACTATAACCAAGATCTCCTACATAGATCCCCCTCTGAGTGGTTCACAGTGGTAGCCGGGCACCATTTAGTTCTTCTGGCCTCATAGTCATATAGGCTGAGTATCACATGGTGTACCAGTTGCTTGGAATAACTGTTTCCTTGTGTCTTAGGGACATTAAACTCTTTTCAGTGACTTCTTTTGAGGATGTAATTGTTTTCCTGCCTGGACCCTGACTAATATGATTATAAAGAACTGACAATTGTATCTCTCCATATAGACATGTAATACAACAGACCAAAAGGATTTTGGATTTCTAAGCAGTATTTTTATTATGTGGTGCTCTGGTGGCACAGTGCCTAAGGCATTTGACTGCTAACCAGAAGGTTGACAGTTCAAACCCATCAGCCACGTTGTGGAAGGAAGGTGGAGCAATCGACTTCTGTAAAGATTTACTGCCTTGGAAACCTAAAGGGGTCACATAAAAACAAGCATACTATATTAGGATTCAAGGAGAAATCCCCTCCAAGAACTGAAAAAAAAGTCACTATTTGAATGAATATAAAATGGTTGGAAGCAAAAGTTAAACATGGTTCTAAATGAGAAATAATGAGGCATATCAAATCTAATTGAAAACACAGAGATTTATAGAGGCATGGATGAATTATGTAATGTGAAATTTTAATTTATAGTAATGCTTTCTACTTATAGAGCTTTTTATGGAAAAAAAGTAGTCTAAATCCCATCCCCAAGGAGAGTAGTATAATTATTCACTGTACGCACAAGAGCCAACTGAGATTCTGTTATGTCACCTATGGAGGTTACATAATTTCCTCAAGGTGACATAGCTAAAGTTACATATCAGAATTTTCTCCACTAGGATTCAAGGAAGAATCTTCGATACTGACACACAGCCTCAAGTGTGTGGACTTTACACACTTAATAGACTACTTAATAGACTCACTGTTAGACACAGGATTTATTTACAAAAGATGTGAACATCAATAACATTGCTATATCAATTTTAGATTAATAAAAATGTTAATATGGACACAATATTATGTGGATCACAAAATTAACCATATTGTAAGCTTTGTGGTTGTTGTTGTTAGGTGCCGTCGAGTCATCTCCAACTCATAGCCACCCTATGCAGAGAAGAATGAAACACCGCACAGTCCCGTACCAGCTCTGTGATCCCTGTTATAC